AACCATTCCATGATTCCATGATACACAGACATATAAAAAACGTGAGCTATGAACTCCTATACACTCCTTTAAATAAAGTTTGCCTCCTCTTGAACAAACCACACATTATACAAAGTTCACAAAGTAGAATAAGAAAGGCAACCAGAAGGAGGCATCTCACACTGTGACGACTAAATACAAGTACGCATTAGATAACACTGAAATATGACTAATGAGCATTTCCCAGGTGTAGGTATAAAGAATGTTGTTTCACTGCAAATAGAAGCTAGTGTTTTAACAACTTAATCCTGATCCAAGTGTGGCTTCATAGGCTTAACAGTACAAAGGAAAAAAAAAAAAAAGTGGGGGAGGGAGTTAATCCTGTATAACACCTTTCTTTTTACTGGCCAATGCTCCTATCTCCTTCTATTTCATCTTACTCCCAAGCCTACCATTCTTCTGGTTTTCATTTTGTCCCTATCTGAAGCCTAAGCCTGTGTTTTGTACTATAACAAAATACACTGAAAGAGCATACCCAAGCTATCTTTAGCTTTCAAGATTGTGATCTGTTCTCACCACTCCTCCATCATCATATCCTTCCTCCAGTCTTCGCAAGCAAGGTGTCAAATTTTCTCATACTAATTATTGTCAAATTCAGAGATTAAAAGACTGTCTCAAAGTAAAGAGATGCTCCTCAGTTTAAAGGAAGAAAAAACCCCACCTTTTAAGTAATCTCTCAAATTACCGTGCTAAGTATCTCAAGCATTTTTAGTAGGAGGTCAAATGATTCAAAAAATTCATCCCAAAAAAAGCAGAACAAAACAAACACCTCAAAAAGCAAAACCACAGAACAGAATGCACAAACAGTGCAGACACCTTAAAAAATACTTACACCTCGAAGTCTGTATAACTGTACACAGGGCATTTGGAAAAGACAATGATGCTAACAGCACACAGAGCTCTGTGCTCACTTGCACACGGTATCTGAGTAAATGTAAAAAACCCTTTTACGACTTCATTAACTCAGATTCCCCCCTATCTTTCTTTAGAGAAAGCTCAGGGGAGGAAGAGTGAAGGGATTTAGAATATGCAGAAATTAGGTCACTTGTGAATTCAGAGGAAAACAGTGCTCACGAACATGCTGGAAGCAATCAGTTTGACTTACACAAGGCAAAAGCTACAGGAGAAGCCCTGCACAGCCATCTCACTCCAGTAGCTCACACACACGCTTGGAACCAAAGGAGAGAGCAGGGAACCGAGCTGGTAAGCGACACCGCCAGGCTGCAGCCTCATTCTGCCAACACCCAGGGTCTGATTACGAGGGCATGTGCACAGGAGGTGCTCACCTCGCTTCTCCATCTCCCCCTCTCCTTGCAGCGTGCTAGTGACACCTCTCCAGGCTACTGTGGGGGCAAAGAACTGCCCCACAAGGAGAAGCAGACTAAAGCTGGAGGTTTCCAGGACGCTGCTACTCGCAGGGGAAAAAACTGTAAAATTAATGGTATTTATATGTCAAAACACACAATCCTCGAGTGGACGGCAACTTGTGAAAATATCCAACAGCGCTTTGCATCAGCGAACTAGGACGTCTTCTGGAACCGTCTGCAAAAGGTTATGGTGCCAGGCATAACGCACATCCTAACATGCAACTAAAATGCAAAGGACGCGTTTCAGAGCATTTTCAACTCCTAAAATGGTAATAAAAAACTCTTATCAGGCAAGCTACGTAACTGAACAGGACTCGGAATTTTAAAATAAAAAGATTAACTTGAATTTCACTTTGTAACACAAGGCTAAGCCTGAAATTCAACATTTTTTGTATAATGCTCTCATGACAGCTCACATCTTACCTGATATGACCAACCAATTCAATCAGTTTGTGGCTGAAGAAGTAGGCAGTCAGCTCAGACACGTGGCTGAGGACTGAACAAACGCCGAAGAGGGTGGTGGTGCCATTCAGGTCTTCCAAGTGCCAGTAGAGAAAGGTGAACACAAAGCCATATCCAAAGCCCATGAACCATGCCACGAAGAGCACGGAGCCATACTGGATACTACAGAGCAGTTTTATTAGGTCCCACAGACTGAAAGACTGCGACTGGCTCATACTGGTCGGAGTATTATCAGAGGATTCGTTGGAGGCATTTCTGTCCACCTGTGAGATTTCTACCTCTTTTCTCTTATTTTCATCCTGCTTGAAGTGCGCATAATGAAATCGAAACTGCGTGGCCACAATTAATGCCATTGTCATCAGAACACCAAAAACTATGAAAACTATCCTGTAGTTCTTGTACTCGGGAGCTTTACATCCCTGACCTTCAATGCCAACTTCTGTATGGGTATAGTCTATGCCAATTCCCACGGAGAGCATGGCCAGCCCCCAGCCCAGAGACCCCCACATCCGCTGCAATCCATACCGGTCCCTGTGCTTGCCGAGGTACTGCAGGGTTACGGTGTCCACAATAGTAACAGAGGAAGCACTGAAAAACTCTCCTATTATGACAACCAGCAGAATGAGCAGGAAGATGGCTTCTACTTCTTGTTGATCATAAACGAGCACGGCTTGGTCAGAAGGCATCGGCTTTGTGGTGACAGCAGCTGGGGTGGTACTCAGAGTCGCGTTCCCTGGCGAGACCGGGCTAGCGGTGGTGTTTCTCGACAAAAAATGGGTGCTGTTTTCCAAGACAAACTCCACATCGTTGCTCTGCGTAGGTAACAGGAATGTTATTTCAGGATTAGCTGTCCCTGTTGTTTCCGAAGTGACCGGACTGGAAGTGAGCAGGTCTCTCTTCCCACGAACCTTCGGGGATGCGGTACTCACTGCGGTTAGCGGAGAAGACATCGAGGCATTTTGCGGAACGGTTGTTAAAAGGCCGCTCGCATTGGTGGGATGTGCTGGGGGAAGGCCCTTTGGTACACATCTTAAGGTGGCCGGTCTAACAAATCCAATCCCCAGGTTAAATAAAACCCAGCACAAAAGCGAAAAGAGGAGGACGATCTTCCCTTTCTTGAAGCGATCTGCCACCACTCCCCAGAAAGGAGCACTGCAAAACTCAATGAAGTACCGGATGCCCACCAGAAGTCCACTCTGACTGGGTGTCATGCCCAGCTGCTTGTAATACACAGGCAGCAAGGGGTAGAGAGAGCCATATGCCGAATAGAAGAAAAAATAGAAGACCTTTGAGATCAGAAGATCATTGTTTATTTTGACGCAGTGCTTTTCTAGCCAATCTAGCTCTTCATCTGGGACAGTGGTTGTCTCCGTTGAAGGGGATTCATTCTGGGGTGGCAAGTCTTGATCCTTGGAAATGCCATTGAAAGGATCAGCAAGCACGTACTTTCTCTTCTGTTCTTCTTCATCATCGGTTAAAATGGCAACCTTATCGTCAGCTGCCATGGTTTACCACAAGCATCCAATACTTGGTGTGCTCTCAAGGAACTAGGGCTACCCTGCGAACACATAAAACAGAACACGGTTAAGGTACCGCACAGGAACAGGCCTGCAGTGCCCATCATCAAGGACCAAGACAGCTTCTTTTTTTTAAGTAGAAATACAGGATCAGCATGGGGAAGGCCATTTGTCTAGACTAGCAGTACACGGCAGCATCAATAAAAACGTGTTTTATAACCAGTTCTGTGAAGTTCTCCCAACAGCAGTTTTAATATTGTTCAATAAAACATCTTTCATGCTGAAGACAGAATAATTTATGTAGTCAAAAGTTATTGTGGCAATTAACTGCTAGCATTTGCAAGTCTTTTCTTTCAAGCTGCCTTTTCTCCCCTAAGGATAACTGCTTTATTTCCAGTATTCTCTACTATACCAAAAGATAGCCATGATTTCATAATTAAACAATGCAGCCACATGTATCAAAACAAATTATAATCCGAAACCTCGGGATGGCCTCCAAAAGGTTCATGAACCCCCTCCTGAAATGTAATTTTTGTTAGAAATCTGCTCTGCAACCACAGCAGAAACTAGTAAGAGGCTTGTGCTTCTAGTCTGAATGGGAAGAGAGGTGGGAATTAGGATGGGGCTTTAAGATTAAAACAAGGGACCCTCAAAATTAGGGTAACAACCTCAAAGGCATCAAAGTCCAGGGAGCAAAGAAACACAGGGATAGAAAATAAGTACAGGCCCTACAATGATCTCTTCAAGTCAAATTCTGAAACTGAAGAAAGGTGGATCAGAATATAACTGTGCTGCAGCTGCCCACGCTTACCCTTGGCAGAAGCAAAAGGTTGCAAAACTGACAAGCAGCACTTAAAATTAAATTCAACACTACTTATACTTTGATGTGACCAACCAGCTTTTGTTTAAAAAAACCAAACCATTCTAACAAGCTAGGCTAGCTAACAGACGTTCTCCTTTCAAGGAATAATTAAAAAAAAAAAAAAGCTCTAACAGCAGGCTACCAACTCAAAATCATTACGTTAGGCAACTATTTTTCCTATATTAACATCTGTAAATGTAACCTGGGAAGATCAGTTCATGTTCGCTATGAAGAAGTTGAACATTTAACATATTTTGGTTTTGTCATCCCTTGGCAGTTTGGATTTGTGTTACTATCACACAGGAACCTTTTCAAGGATCAGTACATGAAAAGAGCATTTTATTCTAGAAGAACCTGAAATTTCTCTAGGAGTACTCAATTTATGATCAGAAGTATCTTCTATAGGAATCTGAAGTATTTTTTCCAGGTCTGCACTGTATTCCCATTAGAAGAGCTCCAATGAAATTGCAGTCTTTCAAAACTCAACTGAAAGCGCAGTATCACCTCCCTAAAATTAGTCAAGCATTGATATTATACCCAGTGCCTCTAAACTATTTAGCTGTAATTTACAATTTATGCAAATACTGGCAACAGATTTGCAAACCGATGCAAGGCTAGTAACAGAACAGAGGATCTACCATTCACAAGTATGTTAAATTAATTGTTTCTTACTGAGCCAGCATACACATAACAGCTGACAGAACAAGCCACACATACTTCTAAAATCAACAGTCCATTAAAATAATCTAAACCTTACACAGTTCAGCGATAGACAAGTTTGAAAATACCATCATTAAAATCCCAAACGCTCAGGAGGTTCGTGTGAGTTTCACTTTTAAATGCCATTTCTATGGGATACTATCTGTGAAGATCTCCGGTTTCACTTAGGGAGTAAAGGTTGCATAAAGATCTTGGAACCTTAACTATTCGTATATTCAAGGGCAGAAGTTAATCAAAACGATGCCAGCACATACACACAGACTGCTTTTTTCCTCCAGTTTCTTCAGAGACAATCCGATTAAAAAAGAAGTATTTCAAGTGTCAAAAGATTGGAAAAAGTCCTAATTAAGCTGCTAAGAAGAGTCAAATGTGAAAACACATTTTCTTGCTCTTACCTGCTACCATCAAAAACCACGTGAACCAAAACCTAGCAGCTGTCTGGTTAGCTCCTGCAATCTCCGGTTCAGTCAGCCACTACCACCTGACAGTTGCAAGGACTGTGGGTTTTTTGCTCATACATTTGCTCATTTTTGGCTTCTATATCCATAAAAGAAGCCCTTCTAATGAGTAAATTAGATCAGTCATCATCTGCGCTTTTATTTTCTTTATGCCTCGTCTTGCTTTGACAACAAAGACTCCAGAACTTGCGCAGGGCCCCACTTATGTCAAGAGGACGTAACTGAGGTTTCAGTGTTTTTCCTGGGTCCCACCAAAACCAGTCTTTGCTCACCTATTTACAGCAACTTGCTTACTACCTGTATGCATTTACTTACTAGCTTTACAGCATTAATTCTGAAGAATACATTTCCTCCCTTGTCCCCATGGCACAACAAGATAGAACTCACACTTTATCCACTTGAGTATCGGGACAACTTCTTTGCAAGTATGAACTGAAGTTTTCCTGATTTAAACAACGCAGCCATAAACCTTATGCCTACACATATGAGCTCTGAACCAGCTGATTTCATACAGATTATACGGAAGGCTTTTACAGCAATTAGTATTCCACCCTTTTTTAATTCAGTTTCCTTTTTCTGTGGGAATGGGACTTGAATTTTGTACACTGTATGAATAGTGGGGATATTAAAAATTGTTATACTGCTAACCTTTAAACACTGGAGTTGCTGCATCTTCTCCCCCACTCTGTAACTTATATCTGCCCCAGCATTTATCTTTTTCTAACCTGTTGTGTGCGAGGATTAATCCAAAAGATATACTCCTAGTATTTTGACTAGGACATCTTGGGTAAGAATGCTATGAAAAGTATATTTCATGATAATTTCAGTAAATATTTTCCCACCCTGAGAGTGTTTCATTGAATATTATTAATAACACAGAACATACTCTTCAGAAATATAACAGCATCATGACTGGTAGGAGCCATATGGCATTCTTTAATGTTTTGATCATTAGTTTGTTTAGGAGTCAGGTTTTTGAAAGAGATTTTATTTAGCAATTTTTTAAAATTCTAAAAATAAATGGCAGAAAAAGAGAAAACCAACAAAGTGGTATTGTTACCGAAAAATCTAGTAAAACCTTAATAATCTGTGGGGCTTTCCTTTTACTGACAAAACACCCGTGCCAGTCAGGGACGGAATGTGCACCAAATCAAACAGATGGAAAAACAACTCCCTTCTAAGTGAGAAGAGACTAGTTATCTACTGGTTATTTTAACAACCGCAGCCTTTAAACACCATACCTGCACTTTGCAGTAAGTTTTTCTGATCCACAAGACAGTGGGAGGATAGAAGACAGCGCTACCGGCAAGTTTAAAATGAACAGCAGAGAACAGGAGTGAGGAAGAAAAAGGCTCAGGGTGTAAACAGAATGGATTCCAGTGTGGATACCAATTTTAACTCGTTTGAGATAGAATGCAGACCGAAGTTTTGGTAGAGGCCTGTTGAATGTCACCGGTCTGGCCAGGACAAGCAGGACCAGGAAGGCTGCAGAGCGGGAACATCACTCCGAAAAACAGGAATAGTGGCTCTAAATTTAGGTAAGTGGCTCGAACAGACAACAAAGCCCTAACGCGCACTGGAAACGTCTGCAAAGATCCCGAGAAAGCCCTGCATCAGGAAAGGGAAGAGGATCAGCAAGCGGCCAGCACAGATGTACGTCACAAGCAAGCACCTTGGTCCTCCAACGGCCGAGCAAGGCTTTGGCTTCCCACGGGTGTATGCTTCCAAACCCCTGCAGAGCTCAGGACTGGGAGCAGAGTCGTGGTTCCCACATCACCCCTGACACGGCTACAACTGAGCAGACTTCATTAAAATCCCAACTGCCCACTTCGGTCCTACCGCAGAGGCCCCGGAGCCAAGTCCCGCACTCACAGCTGCGCAGGAAGCTTGCGGCCAGGCCAGCTTGCTCGCGCTGGGGATTACTCTGCAAGATTGCTCGTGCTCTGAGCCTGCTTATGCACAAGCATGCGCTCCTCTTTCAGATATAAAGAACATACTTGTTAACCACAAGACTGTTCTTCCTTCAAGCTTTGCACAGATAGGATTTTTTTATACAAGCATTGGTTTTTCTGAGTTTCCTGATACAGACAGCTGCCGCCTCGTTTGCATCTATCCCTCCAGCAAGTCAAAATCCACTTTCAAACCCTCACGTCTACATCTTCCATCCAGTCATCTTCTGCAAACAGCTATGGTAACTTTCCTGCAGACTTGCGCTTTCCAGCAACTATCTGAGGAAGAGAGGAAAAACTATTTGTCCCAAGGAATTTAGCGATGACAATGAGATGGTCATTTTAATGACTGTATCGAGGCTCTTTGGCAGGTAGGTGGAAGGAGACAAATATAGGTATTATCCATTTAGTTAAGTATCTTCTTGGCATTCTTGACTTTTTTATTTCTTAAATCAATCCTCATTTACTCTGGCTCTCCAAATAATTAAGAGGATTTCAAGATCAGAAAGGATAAAAAGCTAATCTATTCAAGACAACCTGACATTACAAAAAGTTCCCTATAAAACAAAGGAAAATAATAATTACCAAAACCTCAGCTCTCGCCCTGGAGTCACTCTTCCCAAAGCCTTGAAAAAAAAACCCAAACCACCTGCTTT